GACTCCTGCATGAGAGCAGTCCAAAATGCCGACATGAAGCAAGTGTCGCGGTCGCTGACTATGTCTTCCGGTACACCGTGGCCACAAATCCAACCGGTGTGCAAGAGGCGTGCCAGCTCGGGAGCCGTGGAGTAGTACTTGCAAGGGAGAAAACGCGTATACTTACTCAAATGGTCCACAACCGTAAGGATGCCGTCGTGCCTGAGGCGATCACGGGGAAATGGTCCGGTGACATCCATGGCAATGGAGAGGCCGGGTTCCCATGGGATAGGCATCGGGCGCAACTTGCCGTAGGGGTTGCGATTGCGGGGCTTGCTCCGTCGGCAAACTTCGCAAGATTCGCAATACCAAGTGACATCGGTAATGAGGTTGAGCCATCGGAATCATTGTCGAAGCCGTGCAATGGTGCATTTGACTCCGAAATGGCCAGCGAGTGGCGAGTCATGGTACTCCCCGAGAAGGTGAGTCCGAAGACGACGGTCTCGTGGCACACACAATAAGTCCTTGCCTCTCGAGTGGAGGAGCAAGTACCCGTCGGCAATGCGGTAATGGCTGGCCGGAGGGTGATCCGAAGATAGCTGCACATACAACGTGGCGAACTCCGGATCAGACTCATAGCCTTGGATGAAGTGTAGCTGAAGTTCCTCGTCGAATGCGAAGGCATGATGTGTCATAGCGCAAAGATCAGGTCTTCGCGAGAGTGCATCTGCTGCGCGATTGGAGAGGCCAGAAAGATGTTTCGGTGTGAAGTCAAATTGGTCGACGAAGTACATCCATCGTCCGATCGTGCTGCTCACCGTATCCGGCATCTTGTAGTAAGTCAGTGGGTTGTTGTTCGTAACCCATGTGAACCTACGACGCCCAAGGAGGAAGTGCCGCCATCGCTTGAGAGCCATCACGAACGCGAGCAGCTCCTTCTTCCTTGCATCATCAAGTGAGTTGATGGGAGGCACTTTGTGGCTGAAATACTCCACAGGGTGCCAGTCGTCGCCGTCGTGTTGTTCCAAGACTGCCCCAACGCCATAGCCGGAAGCGTCAGTTGTCACTCTCGTAGGCAGGGTGGGGTCATAGATGCTAAGGACGAGAGCCATGAGCATGGTCGTCTTAAGTGCTTGGAATGACCGGCATGCGTCGTCATCGAATACGAATGGCACCTTTGGCGATTGTAATCTCTTCATAGGTGCAGCAATCCTTGAGTATCCGGTGATGAATCGCTGATAGTAGCCCGCTAACCCCATGAATGAACGTACGTCCGTGGTGTTGGTGGGCTCGGGCCATACGTGGAGGGCCTCGATCTTGTCCGCAAGCGGACGGATGCCTTGCGGCGTCACATAATGTCCCAAGTACTCCAGCTCCTGCCACGCGAATTCGCATTTGTTGCGGTTGGCTTTGTACTTGGCTTGTCGTAGCCGCTCCAAAACAGTGGGCAGGTGTTCCACATGCTCGTCCAAACTCCGGCTGTACACTAGGATGTCGTTGAGGTAGATAAGTACGAATCGATCCAGCATGTGTCGGAGCTCCGTTGTCATAGCCGCTTGGAAAGTGGCCGGGGCATTCGTAAGGCCAAATGGCATGACCAGCCATTCGAAATGCCCATATCGCGTCTTAAACGTGGTCTTGTAGCGGTCCTCCTTGCGAATTTCGAGTTGGTGATATCCCGACTTGAGGTCCAACTTGGAGAAGAACTTGGCGCCGCCCAGCCGTTCGAGAAGGTCGTCGATGCGTGGAAGAGGGCCGGCGTTTCTGATTGTTTGCGCGTTGAGCTTGCGATAATCGATGCACAACCGCAAATCCTTGTTCTTCTTCCGAACGAAGAGAACAAGAGCACCGTATGGCGATGAGCTAGGCCGAATCCAGCCTTTCTCGAGAAGGTCGTCGAGTTGTGCCCGAAACACACTTAACTCTTCCTCGCTCATTCGGTAGATGCAACCGCGCGGAGGTACGGCCCCGTCCTCGAGGATGATCTCGTGGCGGATGGGCCGATCCGGTACTACTCTGTGGGGGGTTTCGAACACGTCGCCATAGGCGTCGAGAAGCTCGGTGATTCGTGGGTCCGGTGGTGAGTCCGTCAATGGAATGTCTTGGGGCGGGAGGGCGTGGAGAAAACACACCCCCATCTCCTCGATGTCATCCCGGATGATGGAAGCTCGAATGCTTGCGGCGGACACCACGTGGCAACTGATCGAAGGGTGAGGAGGAGGTACCGTGCATGGGACTAGTACTCTGTTCCGGTCACGAACGTGAACGGTATGGCGGTAGAAGTTCACTTGGTGATCCTCGCTTCGCAGCCATGACATGCCCAAGATCATGTCGAATTTGGTGTCCAAGATATCGAAGGACACCGCCTCGCTTGCATGCGGGGCAAAGTTCACGGGGACGTCATCAATGCACCGGTCGATTGACTTGTGCATGTGACCGTCTGCCAACGTGACTTGCGTAGGCTGGGACTTCCTCCGGACGCGTGGGCCAAGGCCGG